CTTCCGAGGCATAATTTTTTTCTGCACTTTTCCAAAAACAGCTTCAGCACATTCCAAAACTAGCCTATAGTAGGTGTTAGATAAATTTTGATTACATGAGTAATCAAAATTGAATAAAATAAAAGCTTGAATAAAACTCTTTATAAACAGTACAATCCTCTGCCATTTTGTAATTTACCTTAGTATGTTCTGTTTTTCTTTGTATTGGAATGCATTTTGTGGAGAGTCATGATATAGGTTTTCTTAGTACATTTTATTTAGATACATAAAACAGACTTGTGCTTTTGAAAATCTCAACCTTCAGAGCATAGTTTTAGATACCCAATTTGGAAACTCTTAACTCTAACAATCAATACAAAATGTACATTTTGAAAGCAGATGATTAACTGATATAAAGGTCATACTGTTCTATCAGTTGTTGCCAAATCCAACCTAGCCTGCTACTTGGAACTATTTGAAAGGTCTGCAAAATTTAAAGCCTATTCAAGGGGAAATAGCTTGACGATCCTTGAGTGAACATGAACTGGTCATTCTGCTGCAGTTTGGGTTTCTGGGATAATAGCACAACTGCCTTGATCATCTTAATATCCTGATCCTGAAAAATGTTTTGGCTAGATGCAACACAACCACATCCAAAGCTGAGTAAAGGTTACAAGGTTCAGAACAATTATCAAATGTGTTTCTTTTATTGTTCTCATGTGCTGCATAAGGCTGATCCTCTCAGATGGGAGAATGTATCTTTCCTACTTACAGTTCTGGAAACTAAAATCAAATCTAAGCCTCAACAGCAGTCTGGTTGTAGGCTGCTGTAGTTAGCTTACATGGCAAGGTTTTGGTATCAGGGGGCTGCACGGACGGTTTCTGTGAGAAGAATCTGGGAGCTGACCAATGCCAGTAAGGGCCAGTTTCACACGGCTCCAAAGGGATCCACTGCTGGTGAGAGCCAAGCCAATAAGCGACATTGTTTCTGCTTCTGTGAGAGCAGATTGAAGAAAGGGAGGAAAAACAAAACAAAACAAAAAAACTGCTGAGTGCTGAGCAATAGCAGCTAGGAGAGTGAGGAGTAAGAACCAGCCCTGCAGCCCCCAAGGTCAGTGCAGCACGAGGTGCTCCAGGGACGTAGCAGCAGTTCCCCTGTGGCCTGTGGAGAGGCCCCTGGTGGAGCAGGCTGTCCCCCTGCAGCCCGTGGCACAGATCTCCATGCTGCAGTCTGTGGAGGAGCCCACGGTGGAGCAGGTGGATGTGGCCTGGAGGAGGCTGCGGACCATGGAGAGCCCCTGCAGGAGCAGGCCCTGGGCCTGAGCTGCAGCCCATGGAGAGAAGCCCACGCAGGAGCAGGGAGTCTGGGGGGAGCTGCTGCCTGTGGCTGCCTGTGAGGGACCTGTGCTGGAGCAGTTTGCTCCTGGGGGATCAACCCCGTGATATGGAGCCATGTTGGAGCAGTTCTTGAAGAGCTGCTGCCTGTAGGAAGCCCACACAAGATCAGTTCAGGAAAGACAGCATCCCGTAGGAGGGACCCCACATGGAGCAGGGGTAGAAAGTGATCTTAAGGAGGTGAAGCATTAGGGACTGACTATAGCCTCCATTTCCCCACTCTCCTGTGCTGCTCAGAGGGAGGAGGTGGAAGAGGGTGGATGAGGGGAAGGTGTTTTTCATTTGTCTTCTTTGTTTCTCCCTTCTCTGGCTTGGTAGCAATAGGTAATTTTGTTAATCTCCCTATGCTGAATTTGTTTTGCCTGTTATGGTAATTGTTGAGCTATCTCCCTGTCCTTATCTCAACCCTTGAGCCCTTTCCATAGTATTTTCTCCCCCTCCCCCCTCCTTTTTTCCTTTGAGGAGGGGGAATGAGAGAGTGATTGTGGTAGAACTCGGCTCCCCACCTGAGTAAAACCACCACAGCTTGTGATCCAGGTGCTGTAACAATGTCAATTGCCAACAGTACATAAAAAGTTTATAGATAGCTTTGTAGGTCTGTAGAGGATGAAACCTGGCTGTTCTTCAGTAGTTGCCCAACTACTGGATCTTGTACTGCAGCACAGCAATGTGTACTCAGTAGTAATTTTTTTCTTTAATGGTGCCAGTGCTTCAGCATCTGACTGGGAGAAATGGTATTATTTTGCTGTTCATGTGAAAATAACATTATGTCTAAAGAGGTCTCTTTCAGACAGTGGCCAACACAACATTATTTTAGAAGATGAAGGATTCCCTGTAGTTTTGAAATAAACACTTATGAATTAAGTTGCTGTTGTAATTCTGGATTCCTTCATTATTTATGTGCATTTGCCTTATTATTTTTAATCCTTTTAACCACTTGGCCTTGGTTATACCTTGTGAAAAAGAGATTTCCAAAAGCTGATTGCATTCATGTTGATAACTTTCTTTTAATGCTGTTCTCTCTCTGGCGGTTTTGCAGGATGTACCCTTCTGGTGTTTTGAAGTTTTAAAGTGAAGTTCTAAAACTAAACAGAAAATTTAGAGCAGTTTACTATTTTGTCAGATTTGAATCACAGAATCATCTAGGTTGGAAGAGACCTCTAAGATCACCTAGTCCAACCTCTGACCTAACACTAACCAGTCCTCCACTAAACCATATCACTAAGCGCTAAATCTAGACGCCTTTTAAGGACTTCCGGGGATGGTGACTGAACCACTTCTCTGTGCAGCCCATTCCAATGTCTAACAACCCTTTCAGTAAAGAAGTTTTTCCTAATATCCAACCTAAACCTCCCCTAGCACAATTTTAGCCCATTCCCCCTCGTCCTGTCACCAGGCACGTGGGAGAATAGGCCAACCCTCACCTTGCTACAGCTTCCTTTAAGGTACCTGTAGAGTGTGATAAGGTCGCCCCTGAGCCTTCTCTTTTCCAGCTCCCTCAGCCACTCTTTGTCTGTCATCCTTCACTTACCTTCTCTACATACAAACAGACACATAGATCCTCTCTCTTAAAATGTGTTTGGTTTCCTGCCTGGTTATTTTTAATGTTTTGTATCATGTCCTGATCTGGTTAGCCAATCATCCTACCTATTCCCAGTCAAATCCATTTGATTCTTGGAACTGTGCCTTTTCAAAACTGTGCCCTGCTCCATTAGTTGTTTTGAAGTACAGTTTCCTGAGTACTATAAGACACTGTAGAAAAATCACCATTTGTTCCTCTGCAGTGATTACCAGATCCCAGTCCTGAGTTACTTAAATAAAGAAATGGTTAAAAATCAGTCATTTCCATGTACATGTTAGTCTTTAACAATGTACTTCAAATATAGCTTTCTTTTTAGCATGTCCAAATACTATTCTATAAGAAATAAAATAATTTGTTTCTCTGGCAGCATGTCACAGCAAAACCAAAAACAGTACATTTTGCTGTGTGATCATATGTGTGTATATCATCATGTAGACAATACTACATTGTCAAATGATCCCAGTCAAGTTCAGAGGAAGGTATATGTGTGATTCCATTTTTAGTGTTGTATTTTGTGTGTAGCATATATGTTAAAAATTACTATTTTTCCAATTTGATAATATTTCTCATTGCTCAATGTCATAAGAAGGTTCTCTTCTTCTTTTCCAGTTCTTATAGATGAAATTCTAGCATGAGATACCAACAACTCTTGAATAAAAAATATTTTTGCAAACCTGCACTCAGATTTGAACCAGATGATTACTTGTATACTTAGTAAAGCTATCTGCTAGTCTGCTTTTTTCATCTTTGTTTCACATGTGTGTTTTTAAGCTAGTATAATTCTTAGATGATTTTTATTCTCCATCAAACTTGTGATTGTTTTTAATATTATTCAAAAATGTTTGGCATATTCAAGTGTACAATTAACTAACCAGTCTAATTTGGAAAATTAGTCTGCCATTCTAGTCTCATAGAACTACCATTATATTTTAGTATGTAAAGTCTACTAATTTTCATTCCTTTACAATTTTCTTCCTTTTGATCATTTTCCACTTTTAGCAGGGTATTATTTTTTTCTGAAGACGTTTACAAAGAATGTTATTCACTGGTCATGGCAAACCTTCAATTAAACAGACTTTAATGCACTGTGTATCATTATCCCATTATCAAGTCATCCTTCTCTTCATTGCATTTTCAAGTTGAGAAGTGTTCTACTCTCATTCTACTAGTGTTCCTTAAGATGTCTTTTCAGTGTCTCCATTTACTCAATACCATCAGTGTACAATGACTGTCATATTTCAGAAGTATACATGGTTTTGTTGAATAAAGCCCTAAATGTAAACATATTTTAACCAAGAAAACAACCTAAGGCAACTTAAAAGAACCTTTATAAAACCTGTCTTCCTTTTATTCTCCATATAAAATTTTAATGCAGTGATCACTTTAAGATACAAAATCAATCATGATGATACTACTAGGTGCCAATGGTGTGCTAGAGCTATGTTATAAGAAAAGATACTTGTTCTTTAAAAGCATTAAGTGCTTGCATTTAATAGTAAAATATTTTTACTTAAACATGACATAGAGCATTCTGTAGTCTGCTCTGCTGTCTCTTCCAAGATCTCATCCCATGCTGTAAACTGGGATTTATTAAGTTAGCTTGTCACAGATAAATCTGTTTACAGCATCGCTAATTAGCAAGTCATGACGTTTTACAGTCATCTGAAATTAGCTTAGTACAATGGCCTTTTTGGCTCTCAGATGGCCTTCCTCAAGATCCTATTTGTGTGTGTGTGTGTGTGTGTGTGCTTACATACGTACCCATGTGATGGAAGTATTTGCTAGAATGGTAGTCCTGTACATATTTGCCCTTTCTTTCCCCATCATCTAAATCTCAAGGTATCCCTTAAAAAAATCCAAATAATGCAATCCTTTTTTAGGAGGAAGACACTGGCAAAGATTACAGCAGTCAGTATTCATCCTTATGCCCTAGAGATTTAGTAGTATGGTCTTAATTGTGCTATCTTGGTCTTAATTTGTGCTATCAATAATTCTTATTTTCTCAAAATGATGTTAGTGTTTTTTGTTTCTATTTTTCCTGTAGGATAGATTCTTTTTGACTTGGTGAATTGTTGGCAGTAGAAACATTACAAGAGTTCAAAGGGAAGGAAGTGTTTGGGTAAGTCCATAAATGCATTGAACGTAACATTTTACATTTTGTTTTAATATACATTTTATTTGTTACAAATATTTTTATTTAAAACTGAGAATAAATTTTAAGGACAAGTTTTGCTTTTTTTTCTTTCTCTCCTCCCAAGGAAAGCTATGTGGGGAACAAAAATACTCAAAAAGTTTCTTAAAGTGTTTCTTCATATAATAATACCTCCTTGTGGACTCTAAATGCTTGCTATGTCTTAATAGCCTGCTCTGTAAGTTAACAGAGGTTAAGAGAAATAGCAATGAAGAATTTAGCAGAAGATCACTTACATGTAAAAATATCAATAATAATTTCTTTTTATTTTTGTATCTACTTACGAAGACATAATTTAAATTGTACAGCTCTGAAAGTTCCCCCGATTTTAGGGTATAATTAATGACAAGTTATTTGGTTAAAACAGAAAAGGCTTTAAAAAGGCAGGTTAAAAACAACAGCAGTTTCCCTAAGTGGAAATTTCAATAAAAGCCAACAGAGACATCTTTACAAAGTGAAGTACTTCTATGTATTATTTTTATTGTGGGCTAATAGGCACTTCTTCCTCACTAATTGGTCTCTCTCAATTAAAACAATTACAGAATCAAATATATGAATATTAAACTAACATTTAAATTGATATTTTATTATACACAAGTCAAGAAATTCACAGTTAATTTCTCCCAGTACAACTGTATATTCATCCCCCTGAGTGTATGTACTGCAATGAAGGACTTTATTTTACAACTATACCACATGAATGCATAAATATTAATATATATATATGTACATAAACTGAAGTTATATTTAAAAGATTAATTAAAGAATAACTCTGCTGGTTGCTTTTTTTATTTATACAGCAGTACAAATAGCTCTGAATTTTAACTACTGAACACCTAATAGATTATGAACACTTCTGTGCAAACAGGATGCTGTGTTTCCTTCGTGTATGGTAGTCACTGTAACATTGCAGAGAATAGTCCTTCCCTGCTTGTTCTGAAATGTGTGCATGGTAACGGATGTCCCTGAATACTTTTCTGTAGTTTCATGGGTCAGGAGTCCATAAATCAGTGAACTTGATACAAATTACAGGGGAGTTAACATTGTAGTGATATTTAAAATCATGGATATTATAGTATGTATAATTAGAAGCTATTAATATTATACTTGTATGGCAAGTAGATAACATTAAGTGAAGTAGTAAGTCATAAAGTGAAGCTCTATAAAATTCTCGTGAGCTGAGAATTCATTACTTTTGGTGATTGATGTATGTTGATGTATCATTTTTTTGAATGACATTAAAAATAAAAATTGTGGCAAATATTAGTATTGGAAAATTATGGTAAATTTGTGCACTTAGTATGATGCTTTGCAAAAGCTTTCTTTGGGAGAAATTCTCATATGATTTTTACTTATCATTGTATTGCCTTTACCAGGTTTACCAATTATGCAATGTTATGGTGATGGGTGGATATGCTGAAATTTTTCCATTTCATCTGCGTAAATACTTAATATTGAGTGGAGGCTATTACTACAGGATGAGCAGTACGGATATTGAAGTCAATGGGATGTATGAGAGGAACTTGAACTTGTGGGCTGCATCATACAAATGTGAGGCAGCTCTCACCCTATCTAAACACTTGGGATTAGACTAACTGAGAATCCTTGGATGAGGAAAGTGATCTTTTTATACCATCAATATTCAGTTCAGTCATTCAAAATACTCCAGCTAACTCTCAGTTCATATACTCACTCCAGACTGAATATGGATTTAGGATTTGGGAAGGTCTCTGAAGGCTAATGAGGCAGATGAGAGCAGAGAAAAGAAACTGCGCAATATCACGCTATATAGTATTTAAGTGCTGAAGGCACTTTCCAGTTTTGAAATTAAAAGTCTAAATTCTGCTCAGTCAATGAAGCACAGTAGGATTAACAATGAAAGCAGAATGTGGCCCACAATTAATTTGACATTATTAAGGCTTAAAAAAAAAATGGGATATCAGTCTTTATAGAATAAAAGCTGTATATGCAGCCTACAGTTTTTTCTTATTTTCCACCCCTTCAAATACTCACTCTTCCTTAAAACAAACAAACCAAAATCTATCAATGCAAACATCTGTAGTGAGATCAAGCATGAGAAGTTTCAGCACTAATTGTTATTTTCTGACAAAGTTATAGCAGGAATGGAAGCACCATCTCAGCCCTAACTTGAGTGTTGCCACAGCTGTGACATTATAATCACCAGTTTTTAAGCTTGCTTTTGTCTGGTAGAGCAATTTTGAAACTGCAGCCTAACAGGCTTAAAACTTCCAAATGAGGCAGAGGGTTAGAGGGTTTTCTCCTATCTGGTTTGCAGAGGACTGCTTACATTATGGTAATCTGGTGGCTATGGAACTCCAGAGAAAAACTCAGCTTTTGTGCATGTGTGTAGTTTATATATTTGTGTTTGCTAAATGTGCGTGTATATACATATATATGCATTATGATCATATATGACTATTTAAAATCACCACCTTCTCTTATTTGATGGAGTGCTATTCAAACTTTCCATGCCTTACAGCTGAATACACTTAACTGTAACTAAAGTATAACCCTGACTTTAAAAGATTGTTAAAAAGTTTTAGTCTGTCAAATGCCCTGATAGATGTTCGATTACATAATAATACCTATCTCAGGATAGGCTCATCTCATGCACTTCTTAAAAATTTATTCTATTCTTATGAGTCCTACTTTAAATATTTCCATTTAATTTAAAGTGTATGATATCAGGTTAGAACTAAGCAAAATTACTGGCTTTCCATTTAGAGATGTACTACAGTGAAAATAGAACACAGTGACAGTACAAAATGTTGCCCCTGAGACCAAGTCTTATATAGTTTAGTATGTCCATGCGTCTCTAAATTTAAAATGAGTTAATTCAATGCATACTTAGGGGTTTAGTCCTTGCCCTCCGGTCTCTAATGTAATGTGTGTCTGTGTGCAAAGGGGAATGAGGTTAGAAAGGGTAGAAAAAGAGCCTGCAGGAAGGCTTTCTTGAATGCAAGAGCAGAGAGGCACCAGAGGATGCCTCTTTAGTTAGTCGACTGCTGGGGTATAAAGCATGAACGTGCTTTATTCCTGAAAAATAGTGTCACATGCATGCTTTCAGGAAGGTACAGCACTGCCTTTACAGGTGGCAGAGGGGGACGTATAATTTATGTAGACGAAATAGGTATTTGACAATCTGTCATTGTTTCACTTCATTGACACCATTTATTTTTGAAAGATAGGATAATAAACTCTGTCTACTGTACTGAATGAAAATAGATAGTCAAAAAGTGCTGTGGTTTTACAGTGAAAGAATACAAACGCAGGCGATCAGTGATGTTCCTTAAAAATTTTTAGGACAATGGAAGTGTTTGGCTTCTTTTAAAGTTTTTTTGTAGTTACTCTCTATAAAGAGAAGTGTCAAAGTATGTTGGATATCTTTATGTAATTTGGACTTCTTTATGTGGAAAGTCTGCTGAATATAAGGGAGTGTGTGTTTTAAATTCAAATGATTTGTCAGTATTAGGGATTCAGTACTTCCTGCAGGGAAGCTGTATGAACGCCTCCGTGAGAGGGAATGCCACCAACTTAGTCTTTTGTTATTTGTTGCTTAGACAGTTGTACTTCTCATGGTTTTGTTTGTTTGTTTATTTTCATTTTTGATAGCAAATGCCTAACTACCTGTCATGCATATTTTGGAGATCTACATTAAAAAAATCCAAGTGTACAGATTTAAACATAGAATTCTATGATTAAAAAAGATTGTTAAAGAGGTAAGGAATATGAAATGTACTGTGGCTTGCAGACCCTAGTCCTTTTATGCAACTTGGATGATACAAAGGTGTTCTGAATTAGCCATTGAGGATTCCCCTCATAGATCTGTATTCCTTCCTTTTTTCATGGTGTAGTCATGCCTGGACAGATGAGACCCAGGCAGCATGATTAGTCATCTCTAACAAATGTTTAGATTAAACTACTCCCTGGCCTGGTTAATGGCAGGGGAGAATGAAGCAGAAAATTTCCCCCCAGGCTGTCAAAATGGCCTGGTTAAGAAGCAAACATGGAGCTGACAGTGCTCAACTCCTTTCCATAAGGAGTTTAACGAGGACCATAGTTGAAGATGTTTTACAGTTTCATATATGTGAAAACAGAGCTAAAGCATGCTCAGAACCTAGTGAGCCTTGTCACAGGTACATACTAGTACTAGTATGTTATTTAAGAAATGTTTTTCCCTTTTTGTGTATATTAATGGAAATACCATGGTATTAGCTATCAGATAGTAGCTTTTGTGTAGTTGTTTCCAGCCTTTGTCTTTCATTAACCTGCTGTCAGGATGTTTCCATGAAAAAGTTTTAATGGTTTGTACTGCTGTTACTGTGTTTTTGGTAATATTCAAGGTATGGTACATTAAGTAGTAGTACCCGTGTTCCCTTGTATTTAGGTAGCGCTAGTAGGCACCTTAAAAAGGCTTCCAGTTCTCTGTACTAAGTATGCCATCGTTTTTTTTTTTGTTGTTTTTTTTTTTTTGGTTTTGTTTTGTTTTGTTTTGTTTTGTTTTTGGGGGGTTGATTCAAGAAAAGAGAAGTCTTCCTTTTTTTTTTTTTTTCTCCTCCTAAATCCTCTGTTCCATTCTTTTCTTTCTTTCTCTCAACTTTTTTTTTTTTTTTCCTGTGTGAGATATTGAGTTGTATGTATGTGATCTCCCTCAGTGATACAGACATTAGCACTAGATGGGTTTAAATGACTGCAAATTAGAGTCTGCAGACTGCATATGCAGTTTTCTATTACATTTATGTAGTCAAAGCCAACATTGCAAAGATAGCAGACCTGAATCAATTAATATCATCTGAGTTTGTCATGTAACATCTAAAACTGCTTTATTTTTTCCTTAAGCCATGGTGTGCATCCTTCTTCCTCCTCCCCTTCTCAAATCTGAGTTCTGCTTCTGCCTTACAAGCAGA